ATGTGAGTGATATAACTGTGTAACTTCTGCGTAAAAGTAGGTGGAAGTTATTTTCTTTTTCTTTGTTGGTGGTCTTGGTGATGTGACATCATGATACACTAATATGGTATATAATTATTCTTTTTTTTTTTTTTGTCAAATATGGTATATAATTATTATTATTTTTTTTTTTGTCAAATATGGTATATAATTTATATTATGGAAAAACTCTTATATTTGTGAATGAAAACCCTTTTTAGAAGAAAGGAAAAAGAGAGAAAAAAACAAAATCTTACAAACTGAAACTTATACCAATCAAACAAACAATATATATATATATATCAGTTTATTTTAAAAACAAAAGAAAAAGAGGAGATTTTTTTTCTACAAAATTGAGATACAAATAGTTTTGGGAAATTAGCAGTATTAACAATAAAATTTTTTATAATTGGCCAACTAACCATAAGAAAGAGATGGTTAGGATATCGTCTGTATTTTCTATATTTAGGACAAAAATGTTCTTATTGCAAGAGATAAGAGATAACCAAGAAACCTTCATGACTTCAATGGTGGTGGAGACCGGATTCGTAGTTACGGTGGAAGAGGAGGAGGTTTTGATTGCGGTGGTGGTGGAGACCGGATTCGTAGTTACGACGGAGGAGGATTTGATTGCGGTCATGTCTCCAATGATAACGGTGGTTCCGAAAAAATCGTGACGGCGATATGACGATAGTTCAACATGACGTAGAACGTAGGAGCAGTGATAGTGCTGTAATATTATGTTGAAAATGGGCGTATAATCATAAATTTATTAGGTCATTTGGTTAGTTATTGAGATAGCTCATCTATATGGCTATATTCTTTTATATTGTGTCCACTATGAATATTTGGCAAATTAACCCAATATTTTTCTTCTTCTACTTTAACAAAAAGAAAAAACAAAAATCTTTCTCTCTTTTCTTAATTCTACTTTATTCCATTAGGGAGAGCCTGGTCTTGACTCTTCTGTGTGGTATTCATTCTCTCGTTCGGCTCTTGTTATTCTCATCAATTCTATTTTTAATTCATCCAAAGCACACCTATAGTAGATTACTCCTACTAATCTAAACATGAGTCAATACTACCTTTTTAATAAAATAAAAATATACCAGTATGAAACAACATTTTTCTTTCTAACTTACGGTTTTTTAAAAATTCGTGATCCGTTTCAAATATGATTTACACATTGTTTTATAATAAAAACAATGTAATTTATTTGTATGGTGTACCGTTATTTTTTTTTATATATAATTGAGATCCCAATCCCATTTAATAACAGAATTTCTTTTTAGCCGAAAAAATTACATTACCTATCAGTCAATCATTTCCGGTTAAACCCGGGTTGATAGCTAACCAGCAGATTTTTTTGTTTTTCTCCAGTACTTTAGCTGTCAAGCAAGTATACACACGTT